GCACTGCTTATATTCCTTTTCTATTTATAATAGCAAGTCTATGACTTCCTATGCCATACTCTCTTGTGAGCCAACCCACAAATGTTTTGGTTCAACAAGAACCTAATTTATGCAAGCAGTGTCACAACATTTGTGGGTTGGCACACAAGAGACTGGGGAAGTCATATACTTGGTATTAGGGATAGAAACATGATAGACGCGGCGAAGTAGGTCTTACCAGAGATGTGGTCCATGTTGCAAAGGCTTGACCATGATATTTACTCAGAGGCTTTAGCCTCGAATTAGTCACCCAGACGCAGAGTGTGGGAATGATGAAGAGATTCGTATGTCAATCTCACTAGATGTCAGCTGATTCGCGTTGTACTGCGTCTGTATACGTGAATTAATCAAGTCTTTCTATATCCATTTATATCTCATATTTTGTTCTCAATGAGTATATATATCATATAGAAAAAAGCTGGTTAATTTTCTTTACTTAATGTAAACTTGAAGCTTTTACAAGAATGAGTCTTAGCTCTGACGATGTTTTTTACTTGACGATTAGCCTGTGTTCGCCCGAAACGTTGATGTCTCGTAGACTACAGAAAACTGAACGTCGTATTAATGATAACGGCCGCAGTACAACGCAAATCAGCCCACGTCTTCTGATGAGATTCACCGTGTACTTCCATAAGAAATAAAAATCTTCAAATCAATTAATCAAAGTGATTTTACAACTCTCTTTTAAATACTTTCAGCTCATTTGGATCATGACTATATTTTAAAAAAATATTTTATCTTATCATACTAGACACACTCATATATAATTGTACTATAATTTAAGCACTTCTCGTAAGATAAATAACACATTGTTCTAGAATATCTATTTACCTCTAACTTAACTATATGAATCCTGGATATGTATACCAAGATATTGTGTCCTCTCTTTTGGTTGCAGTCATCATTGCCTCTATGAAGTGTTCCGATCTCGTTTTCGCAACTTGGCCGTGTTGCTGGAGCCTGGACCTTTTTGACCGCACCTTGTCCGAAGTCCTTTGCTATTTTAACATCTTAATTCTCAGCGCCTTGAGTAAAATGTATACTGTGACTGAAGCCAGCAGGATGAGAAATGAATCTTCGGGGCCATGAGGGTGATTCAGATATGGGGTCTGTGTTTGGTCAGCAATTCTGACAAATTCAAAGGGACTGGGACAAGGTAAACAAGTATGTGATAAAGCACCATTTAACTCGCCAAAAAGCGCGCATCTCTAAATGAATCGAATATAAACAAGTCAGAAGTTGTGATAAGGAGTGAGGGATATACTAGGATAGGGATTAAATCGATCTACAAGAAGTAATGGCACAACCGTTCGGCAAAAAGTTGAACGAGATTTATTTCAATTGTTTCTTTAACGAGTTGTAGCTTAGTGCTAAAACTGGCAAGACTCACTGACAATGCAGGCGAAACCTCTGGAAATATTCCAAGTCCATAGTATGATGCCAAGAATTATCATAACCACTATAGCACAGGAATTTAAATAAAGTGCGTCAAACTAGATCTTACTGATAACATGAACTAGTTGCGAAAACGAGATCAAAACACTTGTGTCTGAATCCTACTTACTTGATTATTTCATAATATACGGAGTCAGTACCATTTGGAAACCTATGTAACGCTTATAATATTTAAGCTTGAGGCTTCATATCCACATATGCAAATTAAGGTAGGTTCTTTAATCTTTTTTTTATGCGACCACACTTTATTCCGCTTGCCGTTGGGTCGAATACACTAACTCAGGATGCATGCCAACCCATCAAATCAAGAATGCTTCTTTGCGAAGGAGGCTCTTGAAAGTGTGGTAATTATGTACATAATTCAGTACTTGATTGGTAGATTGAAAGGGAGATGTATTGAACCGCCATCCCAAAGGAGATAACCAGAATAAAGATAATTAACAAAACCATTATATATTGATGTGTTTTAAATTATCTTTAGCTTAAATAAGATTATATAAGAGATAAGATGGAGCTGGAAAATATTCTTGTCTTAATGAGAATTTACAAGAGTGAGACCCAGCGCTGATGATGTCCATAATATGATAGACGAAAGCTCAGCCCGTTTTTACCCGAAAAGAGGGAGGTCTCGTGGATTGCGTTAATTTCAAAGTCGTATAAAAGCCAAACGGCTGCAGTACAACGGGCTTCAACCGCCCTCTTCCGATGAGGCTATTCTTCATACACTTTCGTACGAAATGAAAGTCCAAGCAATAATGTTGTCAGGAGATTAATCGAAATCCATTTACTATTCATATCTGAAATATACAGATTTTCTATTACATTACATTGTCAATATATGTGCTGCAGTCACTTGTGAGAACAGAACGCCTTAGCAATTTAAATTGAGTTGCTTCGTCTGTACTCATTCAATTAATCACACAGCGAGTCAACTAAATGCAAATTCCCAATAAGTAAATCAAGATCACATCCAGTGGTGCTGACTTTGATTTTATGAGATCTCCCTCTATGGGTCTGGCATACGGTATTTCTATGTATTTATATTTTTATATAAAAGGTACGCAACGTATTTATTCGCATAAATTTACATAATGACTACTATTCAAGTGGCTACTCAAAGCGATGAGAAGGAAAATCATAACGCGAGCGCTGTTGGCTTCCTTCTCAAGGCATGTCCGACTTCTCCAGCTGGCTTAAGGCCCTGCTGCCCGAGTTTGAATTTCTCAGATCAAAACCACGCTTCAACCAATCAATCTACAGAATGCGCCACTCCGGGAGGAGCTGAAAGTCTGTCCGGTTGGGCTGTACCGCAGTCATCCGTCAAACGAAGTTTAATAACTGTGGGGTCCACATCTGCCTCACCGGCTTCAAGAGTGCGTGCCGATGATAGTTGGATTCTTCCATCTGAGCGGCCTCCTCCAAATGCTCCTATACTAATCGGATCTGTTTCGGAAGTATTGGACTTAAGCTATAGACATGAATCCATGCGAGACGTGCTAGGTTCTTCGCTTTCTACATTCCCAGACTCAAATCCTGATCCCGACCTGTCTTCATCCCTGCCTCCGCCGCTATCTGGAGGCAGACATATGGTCACGCCTGTCCCTAGTCTGTCTGACTGGCGCCTTCAGACGACTGGTCAGCCGAGAAAAGCAAAACGAATCTCTGGACTTATATTTCAGCTCTCCAGCACTTTAGAACCCACTGTAGATCCAGAACATCTTGAAAAGGACATGGTAACTCTTAGTACATGCAGAACGAGTGACTGACCTATTGTGATCTGATGGTCTAATTAACAGTCACAAGTGTAGAACATCTTGATTTATCTCAGAACCATAATTGTCCGATCAAATTGATCCATATATGCCTCACCTCGATTAGCCCCTTTAGTCGGCCCAAAAATGTATATCGCTGCATCACTTCCCCCAGGCTACCTGACTTTTCTCATTTTCATACCTTTCCGCCTTTCTAGCAATTTGTCCAAATTAATTTGTTTACTTGAATAGACACCCTTGTATATACCAATGGGCAGCTTATTTTATTATTACCTTCTCCGTCTCTGTGTATATCCAGGCCTTCAGTCTTTCTTCCTATTTTACTATAAATACTCATCAGTCTTGCCTTCGTATTTATGACTTTCAGTGCGCCTTTTTGGAGCAGGTATTCAAAACACTTTGCACATTGATAATTTTTGTGTAAACGTTATTATAGGTAATGTCGCTGACATTTCACTTATGGAGGCAAGACTCAAAGCTTTAGTGGTTTTCGTGGCTGCCCCATAGATAACTCTTATTCTATTTTGTTTTCATAATTTTGAATTGCATTTGTATAACTAACTGATTTATATTACTCACAGCTGCTCCACCCCTCACTGAGAATGGCTCTTTTCCTAATCAATTCCCGGTGACTTCCTCGGTTATTTGTGCCTATATTTACATGCGTCACCTCGAAAATGAATGACAATTATTCTTCACCTCGTTGCCACCCTATCTTACTATAGAATCCGCCCTTCTCATTGCCATTTAGCCT